TAGAAAAAGTTCTCAATAGTTTGCTTTTTGCTCTTTTGACAAGAAAGTGTTCTGACTTTGTTCTATGGTGCGTTTTGCCCTTTATTCAAGAAAACGGAGAGAGTTGTGTTTCTGGTTCAATAGAGTCTGGAGCACAGTCAGGCGTTTTTTGTTTTTGCCGAATTTTTAATTTAAAAACAGGGAACTAGTGTTAACTCTTTCCCATAAAAACACAATTTTTTTTCAAATAAGACTTTTACAAAAAAATGAAAAAAATTTTCGAAAATTTTACCAATTTTTGGACTAAAAGCAAAGTTAATTGTTGTTTTTTGTAATTATAATTCTATTCGGTATTATAAGCAAATATTGTTTATTTTTATGTTTCCATTAAACAAAAATTATTTGAAACAAACACTAAAATAATAACAATTTTTTTATTTAATCCAATAATATTTGATAAATTAGATGTTTTAACAATTGTTTTCAATAATTAATTAATATATCTTTGTTAAAAAAAACAATTATTACAATTGTTAATATATTTTAATAAAAATCAATAGTTCGATAATACAGTTAATTTTTCAACAAAAATGAACTTAGAAAAAGATCGATAGACTTTTTGACAAAAAAATAATTGTTTTTAATTGATAATATATAGTATATAAACTATTAGAAAAAAACACAAAAACACGAAAATCATTTCATTCAATTATAAAAATACATAATGCAAATTAAAACAATATATTAATATTATTACACAAACTTAACCATTGATTATAATACATATACATAACATGTTTTTTACGAAACGAGTATCAAATTTTTCATAAAAAGTAACATTAAATTTTTTATTAGTTTATCAACATTAAATTTAATGAAACATGTATTTACACCTTATAAATTGTACATTTTATTTGTGTTAAAATACATATCAATTTAATGTAAATGATATTTATTTAAGAAAAAAAAATCGAGTTTCTTTCTGGCAAAAATTAATAAAAAATAATAAAACTCATAACACAATCGCCTTTTAAAAATACTAAAATATATTTTTGTTTTTTTTGATAAACAATTTTGACATGTGTAACCAAAAATAGGAAATAATGTTGTAATTATTTTTTAAATCATCTAATTGTTTATTCTATCTCTGTGTAAGCCACTTTTATTGGTCAAAATTACTCACTGATAGAATATTTACTAAGTTAAAAAAGAATGAAAATGTTAAAAAGATAATGTTTTTAATTTCCCGATAATGAACACAAAAACGACACATCGTTTACTATAAATAATAGTCATTTTGAAGAAAAATTCATACAATAGTTATAATAAAAAATGCTGAAAAGAAAAACTTTAAAATATTTTTAAATAGTTTTTCTGTGAAAACATTGTCATATAAATAATCAAAAACCGAGCAAATGGAAATAAAAATCAACTTGAAGTTTAATTATTTTATTTTTCGAAAACAATTTATAAAAATATAAATGATTATTAATATTTTATGGTATGGTGATACAAAATAGCAATTATAACTAAAACAACAAAACAAATTAAGATTTATAAAATCCAATTATATGATTTATTCGATCATTAATAATTCTATATTTTAACAAGTTTAATAAATATTACAAATGTTGAAATTTAATAAACAATTTGTAAATTCGCAAATGAACAACAACCTCTTTTAAATTAGAGCCAGTCTTTTAACATTATCTTGTCTCAAACGTTATCTGGTGGGCAAAATAGCTTTAATTTTGTCTAAACATTAGGCATTAGGTAAACGTGAAAAAACCCGAAACAATTGGGATAAGTTTTTGGGACTGCTTCCTGAAATATTCCAATCTTTATGATCCAAAAGGTACCAAATAACATTTGAGACTAGATAACGTTAAAAGACTGATTATTTTTGTAAAATTTTAAAAAGTTTTTTGTTTTTCACAACAAGTTTATAATTTTAAATTTGGGGAACATTCAGATTTACACAAACTAATTTAAACATTGTAATTTATTTATAATATAACAGTAAGAAAATAATTCTATTGCTCATAAAAACAACGATGATACTAAATTATTTTGGATGAAATTTATTTGTGTTATTTGTCTTTTTAAATAAGCAAATAACAACACTTATACTAATAATGTCACTCATTGCAAATTGAAGATAATGTACAAATAAACTCTAATGTAATTTTTTAAATGAAGATCGAACAATTAAATGGAAAATAATACAAATGTGATGAAACAATTGGAAAATGTTATCAAAATTCTAAATGATAACATAATGATTGATAAAAAGGTGATTTATTAAATTTCAGAGAATACAAAGGTATATTTCTTGTGTCTTACATGAAAAATTGACTCTTTCGAATATATTATCAATTGACATGTTTTGATCTCTAAATTGTTTAACCAAATCAAAATATCTTTCCACTGATATTGTTGTTGGCGAAATATTTAAACATATCTGAACAATTTGAATCAATTTTAAACATTGATTACATTCAAGTATATCCCAAATGTCCAACAATGAAACACGTTCATTTCCAAAAACAAATTTTCTTAAATCGATATCATATTGAGTTAAAGGTAATTGTTTTCCAGCATTTATTTTTAGCTTTTCTTTTTCTTCTTCATTTAAAGTTATTAGTTTCATTGTAATTGTTTCAATTTCATTAAACAATGTTGGAAACGATGTTTCAATTAATTGGTGTTTGGGTATATTATTATTTATTATAATGTCTGGAAAATAAAAAATATACATCAATGAATCCAAATCATCTGCATATATTATATGTTTTTGATATCCTGGATTTAATTTACAATTAGCAATGTCAAAAAATTGTTCTACATCACGAATTTCCGCAGAGGATGTTATTGTATCAAAACGAACGTCAAAGTATAACGATGTTCGGATCAAAACTTCACGAAGAAATTCATAATTTTTGTGATCATCTTTTGAAAAACTATGAAATGCATCCAACTTGTGTTCATCGTTATCATCCAATCTTTTTACTAAAATTTTCAACATTTCTTTAAAATTTGTAGCTCTTGACCAAAATACAGGCAATGTGCAATCTATGCTTTGGAAGGAATCATTTAAATCCTTCAACAATTTAAGTATATCATATAGAGCATGAAATTTGTTTTCGATTTTATCATCACAAATGTTAAAATTATTTATATCAGCAATTGTAGAATATTTGCAATTTCTTTTTAAATAATCTTTAAAATCACATTCTTTGTGTTTAACAAATAAACAAATGTTTTTAAACTGACTGCATACACTTTTTATATTATCACAAATTGAAAGAAATCGTGTAAAAGCAACGGTATTTAATTTTTTAGACATGATGTTATGTTCATTTTTGAAATCCTCAAATTCTTTGACGTTAGTTGTCGAACACACAAACGTAACCAAATGGTACATTATGTTAAGTTCTGTCTTACGACAGACACATTCTCCAATCAATGCAGTTTTATGACAAAAACACCAATTTCCCACATTATATTTACTAATTATATCCACTCCTTGTAATTTAAATGATGCCATAAGCTTTTTAAATTCGAAAATCGAACGCTGCGCATTACTGGCCTCATCACACGTTTCGGCTACAATTTTTTGAAATGGGAATTTGGGATCTATTTCCAGTA